GGTGTGTGTGTGTGTGTGTGTGTGTGTGTGTGTGTGTGTGTGTGTGTGTGTGTGTGTGTGTGGAGTAGAGGAGTCCGCCAATTCTACTGTTTTCAACCTTTACTAAAAACTAGATGTACGTCTGCTTGGACAAACACTTTGGGTTTTTGGAGTCAGTCTCCAGAAGCTCCCCAGTGTTTAGTATGTAAGTAGTTGGGTACATGGAGAGTAAACACAAACATTTTAAAATAACATTTAGTCTAATCCACATGTGTCAGCAAACAAGTGACTCTAACCAATTGGGCATTACAATGAGTTTCCCAAGGGTGCTTCACATTTCCACAACATTAATTTAAAATATAAAAGATGAATTTCAAGTGGTGGTTGTGAATACATTTGAACTTGTCAGCAAAGTGTCTAATTCCTTAAATCTAAAGTAAAGGCAACAACTGATCAGATTTGATCACATATTGATAAAATCTTGATTCCAAATTGTCCTTGAATGCACCAGAAATGATAAGAACAGTACCTCCTCCAGTCAAACTGCAAAAGAAATGTTGTGATATGTTCCCTGTCTTAAACATGAGCCAGGTCCCTGCTGATTTCTTCTTGTACTTCAATTAGTAATTGAAATAACTGTAATAAGTTGAACCTAATGTTAAGCATGTTGCTTTAAACCTACACATCACTTTCACTCGAAAACAAAAACCCTGCCACCTTGAACCATTCTCATGCAGGGAAACGATCCATATGAATAACATTATCCCTTCACCCTGTGTGTCCAGGTGTGGTGTCCATGGGGGGCCGAGTGTTTGCAGTGGGGGGGTTCAACAGCTCTCTGCGGGAGCGCACGGTGGACGCGTACGACGCAGCGAGGGACCAGTGGAGCACCGTGGCCAGCATGCAGGAGAGACGCAGCACGCTGGGGGCCGCCGTGCTGGGAGACCTGCTGTACGCTGTGGGGGGGTTCAACGGCAGCATAGGTACACACACACACACACACACACACACACACACACACACACACACGCGCCCTCATACAGAGTAAAATCTGGTTGAGCCTCTTGAGCCTCTTGATCTGTTTGAACAGATTCTGATTATTTGCAGTAGCACCGCCTACCTCAGTGTAAACATAAAGAGACATGGGAGATTTTCTCTGTTCTCACAACTACCAGCTTGAGGCAACATAATGTATCTCACCTACACACTGATCCACACGCCAGATAATGTTTGTGTTGGTGTCATTCCTTCAGGTTTGTCGACAGTAGAAGTCCTCAACTACAAAACCAACGAGTGGATGTACGTCGCCTCCATGAACACCAGGCGCAGCAGTGTGGGTGTAGGAGTGGTCGACGGTAAGACAACGTGTGTGTGTGTGTGTGTGTGTGTGTCATTACAATGAAAAAGCTGAAATTCTGATTTCACAATTGTTGTGTGTGTGTAGGTAAGTTGTATGCAGTGGGAGGTTATGATGGAGCATCCCGTCAGTGTCTCAGCACGGTGGAGGAGTATGACCCTGTCGCTGATCAGTGGTGCTACGTGGCTGACATGAGCACACGGCGCAGTGGAGCAGGTAGTNCATTGATACAATTCAGATGTTTCATGTCATCAAAAATTGCCTAGGTTGTACTTAATAGCTGCTGGAGGTGTGTCCTATCATCATTATCATACTGAAGGAGTGTGGTCATCCAGTATCAGTCACAAAGCCTGTCTTATAGAGAAACAGCCCCCCCCGGTGGTCTGCAACTGGAACCATTAAACACACTCACCCAAACAGAACCAAGAAACAACATTAAAACATTAAAATGTAAACGTTGGCCTTGTGTTCTGTGCAGGGGTGGGGGTGCTGAGCGGTCAGCTGTATGCAGCCGGGGGGCACGACGGCCCCCTGGTGAGGAAGAGCGTGGAGGTGTACGACCCCACGACCAACAGCTGGAGACTCGTCTGCGACATGAACATGTGCCGACGAAACGCAGGTACAGGTAACAATCACACACACACTCACACACACTCACACACACTCACACACACGCACACACACTCACACTCACACACACGCACACGCACACACACAAACACAAAATCTACATTTATATCAACTTTTTATTTTGTGTTTTTGTATTTTATAATATTAGTTGCATTGTTGGAGAAGCTCAGGTTAGAAGAATTGTATTGCCATTTCTACACTGTAGCTTTGTGCATATGACAAAACGATGTAAACTTATCTATAAGATCTATATTGTTGCGTACATACCATTTACTGTGAGCATTGTACATTTGTTGGCTTGAAACGTCCATCACTGTCTCTCCTGAAGGTGTGTGTGCCATTAACGGGCTGCTGTACGTGATTGGAGGAGACGACGGCTCCTGTAACCTCTCCTCCGTCGAGTATTACAACCCGGCCATAGACAAGTGGAGCCTCATCCCCACGAACATGAGCAACGGACGCAGCTACGCAGGTAACACCAGCATCACACCGTCTTCACATTTCACCTGTTTCTCCCCCTGTTTCTCTCCCTCACTCTCTCTTGCCCTCACCCCTCCAGGAGTCGCAGTGGTTGACAAGCCTTTATGACAGGGCTCCTCCCACAGAGACCCCCACTGAAGCTCAGCAGGAAGGAATGGACAGGGCGCCGCTAGTTGCCTGAATCATGGATGCATCTTGAGGAGTTTTTCTGGCGCTTTAACACATCCTGACTTTGTTGCTATGTCCGTTTCCATCCTGACTTTTAAAGAACACAGTTGCACTAGATAAGAGACAGTTTCCACAGACAAACGTTGTCTTGGCGAGTTTTTTAAAACGCCGAGCACATACCAAGCGGCTGCATCAGCTCTGACTTTAACGGCCAACCTGTGTGCTTTAGATGTTTAGTGTTGTTCATGGGATGCATCAGATCCAGCACTCGAACACCAGCTGACTTCAGACCACCTTCAGTGTCAACAGTGTGGCTGCGATCATCAGGAGACGAAGCGTTATCCAAAATCCTGGAAGCCTGGGCTCGCCGCTGGAGACTTTTTTTTTTTTTAATTATGAGACAGCCACATTTGAAAAATTAACCTAAAGAGCTACAGAACAATGTAAAGAATGTAGAAAACATCTTATATGCAAATCAGCGTTCATATTTAATATGTTTGAGATTGTTTTTAAGGAGGTTGAGAACCACTCGCTGAGGCCCGGTGATCTGATTGGACGGGAGGACTTTTTTTTTTCTTTTTTTCGACGCACTACTGATGCACTGATCAATGCAATGACTGACCTGCTGTCCTCCAAACTCATGGGGGAATTTAAACTCACCGCTTAAAGGCCAATCATTTCATCAGAAATTGTAAAAAAAAAAGTGCCAGTTTTGCTGATCCGAATCCTGCTGGAGGTTTCTTGCCTAAAGGAGTGTCAAAATGCACTGAAGAAACAACTGTACAATTCTACTTAAGATTTTCTATTTATTGTTTCAGGACATTTGATCACATAGCATTTATTGCTTCAAAGGGAGGGTCTCATTTCCTCCGCCTCATGTAACACTTGTGCTCCGCTCACACTCATGCAGATGATGGTGGGTGCATTTCGATGACTCACTGGTGCCATAGCTTTCGAAGAAAAATACATTTAGAGAAGCTCCTTTTATGAGAGTTTTCATTTCTGCCTGCAATCTTCCATAAATCATGGGGCGATCGGCGGCCCTCATCTCAACGCCCTCTGGCAAAAAATGTACAAAATACTGCACCGACCATGCGTTTGTTTTTGTATGATTAGCTAAATAATGTCAACTACATAACTCCCACATCTTATATTAAGTTTAATGTATTTTTGTCATAGTTGCAGGAAGTTTACCACAGATGATTACAGTGTAAAACTACTAGAAACACTCTTCACATATGGACCTATGGAGCTCACTGTTATAATCAGTGCAACAGCAACATTATGACATACTTTGTGATGTTTAACTAAGGAAATTTCTAACCACCATCACGATACATTGCTGACATCTAGGACTGTGCAGTAATGCAGAGGAAACCCTGGATTGTGTGGTGCGTTCAAGTGTCTGCAGAAGAGTCAGAGATCACAGTTAAAAAGACTGAACAACAGGAAATATTGAAGTTATATTAGCCCCTTCTTTTTCAATTCAATTTAAACATCTTGTGCCATGTTTGAAAGAACCCTGACATTCGTGTGTTAATTTATTAACGTTTCCTACATAAGAGACTCATTAGTTACACATATTACATTGATATTTCCAACACATACTGTATGAATGATCCTCATTAAAGTTGTTTTTTTATCGTACCATGAACACTACTTTTTGTTCCATTGTAGGAGTTTTTGAGGGCACTGAATACAGCGAGTATTACACCCTTTCAGAATTGACATGACATTGACATTGACATGACAATTGAAATT